CCCCTCCCCTCCACTCCCCTCCCCCCTCCTACCCTCCGGTCCTGTCTCCAGCGGGAGCGCGAGACGCTGGTCAGGCTCCGCGGCGCAGCTCGAAAATGAATAATCGCCCCCAATTGACTTAAATTCCACCGAAGCCGGCGCCGCGGCCGCCGCCGCTGGGGATCTGCTCGCTGTTTTTTGCTTTCTTCATTCTTCCTAAAAAAAAAAAAGCAAAACAAAACCAGCCAGCCAGCCAACCAGGAATCCGGTTTGTTGATCGCCTTATTTTTTTTTTTTCACCGTTTGCGGGATTTGCAAACCGAGTTACATGCATGTCCAGTGGGGGTAGGTTTAATTTTGACGATGGAGGGTCCTACTGTGGAGGCTGGGAGGACGGCAAGGCGCACGGCCATGGCGTCTGCACCGGCCCCAAGGGCCAAGGCGAATACAGCGGCTCGTGGAGCCACGGCTTCGAGGTGCTGGGCGTCTACACCTGGCCCAGTGGCAACACGTACCAGGGCACCTGGGCGCAGGGCAAGCGCCACGGCATCGGCCTGGAGAGCAAGGGGAAGTGGGTGTACAAGGGCGAGTGGACGCACGGATTTAAGGGGCGCTACGGGGTGCGGGAGTGCACGGGCAACGGAGCCAAGTACGAAGGGACCTGGAGCAACGGGCTGCAGGACGGCTACGGCACCGAGACCTACTCGGATGGCGGTAGGTGCGCCCGTGCGGGCGGCCGGGACGGGGGCTGGGCCGAGGGGCACCTTCTTCTCTTGCCTCTTCTGTTTATCTCTGGGGAAGTTGAGATTCTCCCTCCAGCGGGGCTGGGGGCACCTGGGGCTTTTCCTGGGGCTCCCTGGAGGCCACAGCAGCCCTGGCTACAGGTTGCCCCACTGCCTGGTGGGGGACAGCGCCCCTGTGCCAGCTGAAAGGTATTGGGGGCTTTCCAGGAGCAGAGTCAGGCCTGGGAGCCCCGGAGCTGAGCAGAGTGTCAGTGCATCATCCGAGAGCAGGCCAGAGACCTACTGGAAAGGCCAGACTGGGCCCAGGGCCTCCTCTGGGACGCGCCAAGGGCCAGGGGGCCTGGCAGAGGGCCCCCTCCCCTTGTTGGCAGAGCTCCCTTGGTGCTGGCCTTCTGGAGTCAGGCCCCAGCTCTGCTTCTTGATTTCATGCGATGCCTAAGGGCCTCCCTTAGTCCTGATCAACCCAAGCCAAGGGAAGGGAGCAACTGGAAGAGCTAGAGGCGGGGGCCGTGACCCCACACCAACACAGCAAGGCAGTGAACTTCTGGGTGGTTGGATGCGCAGCCAGCTCTGCTGGAGCAGGCTGCTGGGGGAGGGAGGGAGGGAGGCCCATCTGTTTAGTGAGAGCCCAGGAATCTCGCCTTTCAGCGGCTGAATCATTTTCACCGTTAGTTTAGGGAATGCTCTGTGCCTTCATTCTAAGATGCCACCACAGTCAGGGCTGATCTGCTGCCGGAAGCCGGCGAGCTGCCCGCACGCCCGTTGCTGCTGTAAGATGGTTTCTGTGCAGGAAGCCTTGGCCGGCTTTGCAGCTGCCCCCTGTCCCAGACACTCCAGTGTCCACTCCTCAGTGCGTCTGACAGCCATAGAGCATTTACTGTTCCTGGAAGCCAGACCCCAAGCAAACCTGCCCTCCACTTGCCCCCTCCCCCATCTAGGAGCTCATCCTCGGAAGTGGCTCCATGCCTCCCTCTTGGCGGCTTGGTAATTTTTCAGGCATGGATGCCTGGGAAAGGACTGGGGCACAGCAGTGACTTGTGTGCTTCTGCTGGGCATAAAAATCATGAGCGTATGTGTGATCTTCTCCCTGCCTGCTCGCTGCTTCCAAGTCGCGTGAAGCAAGTGCTCAACACCTGCTCCTCGGCCACGTCCAGGAGTGATGGAGGGCTAGAGAGTAATTATTATTTTGGCTTATGCAACTGAAAGGCAGGGTTCATTATTACTCAAAGGGGAGGAGGCGTGGGGGGGGGGTCAGTTAATTATATAATGTTCCTGCCTGTCAAAGCCGTGCCCAGCCCCATCCCAGGCGGCCTCTTCTGTGCTGTTGTTGTTTTCATGGGGCGGGTTGGAGAGCTTCCCTGACCCCGGGGCGCCGGGGCGGCAGAGCAGACGGCCCTCCCTGGGTTCCAGGCCGTGGGCGTGTGCGCGCGCGCAGGTGCCGGCAAGGCAAGGCCCGGGCAGCAGATGTAGGTGGCTGAGGTGGGCGGCTGAGCAGCCTGGTACTCCTACCTGGGCTGTTTGGGAGTCCAGGGGTAGTTGCCTCCCCAGGGCTCTGTCTAGGCTGCTCTGCAGGTCTGTCCCTCCAGAGGTGCTCCCAGTGGTGTCCGAGCCAGGAGAGCAGCTTCATGGTCTTGTGCAGGCCGGCGTCACATAGGAGCATGGGGAGGAGAGGAGCCAGGCCCCTTTCTCTGGAAACTTCCCAGAATATCTAACAGTGAGGTCTAGCACCCCAGTCTGCCTGCCTTCCCTGGACAGAATTCTGTCCTTCATTCACCAGATATCTACTGATTGTCTACGATGAGCAGGTGCCCTGGGCTCTAGGAAGAGAGCAGTGATCAGAGCAGGCAAAAATCTTTGTCTTCATGGAGCTTCCATTTTAGAGGGAAGGTGATTACATTGCGGTTACTCTGGGGAAGAGAATATCTGATTTAGTGGCTGGCCATAAGTTTAGGGTCTGACATGTTGTAAGAAATGCTTCTTTTATTGCATCAATGTCCTTGGGTCTTTATCTGCCATCCAACTGGCTATGCAGTGTTCCGGTCCCTAAAGCACTTTCCCTCTGCATTGTCATGTTTGAGTCTCCCACGATGGAAAGGAGGGGATCGTGTCCATTTTACAGGTGAGGCCAGTGAGGCCCAGGAGCCTGTGTGACAGGCAGGGCCCCCATCCTTTGATGGCAGAGTCGAGAGTTTGAGCCCTGATCTGTCTGGGGCCAAGCTCCCTTTCTCCCACATCATACTGCCTGTACGCCAACTGAGGCAGACACACAGATGCAGGGCCCCAGGGCTGACTGCTCCCTTTTGGTCGGCGACGTGACATGATGGAAAGCCAAAGTGACCCTTCTGGCCTGGGATAACCAGGTCCAGATGTCTGGGGCCACTTTTCTGGAACATGGTCCCCTCTTCTAATTAGGAAGGAGGTGACTGTTGAGAATGCGTGCCCGCAAGCGGTCTATCAAGTGAGCAGAGCCAGAGTGGGGTGTCATCATCCACCAGAACAGAGCAGTGAGTGTCGATGCCTTCCCCCAATTCCGCTGGTGGGCGGTGAGAGGTCACGCTTCAGAGAGGGCAAGCAGACCCTCAATGAGGTAATGGTCTTGACTCCAGTGCGACTTTCCCTTTGCACAAGGGGTGGAATGTCGGGCAGACAACAGCAAAGCTTCCAAACTTCAGCCCAGCTCCGGGTGCTGATTTGGGGAAACAGCGATTTCCATGAATAACATATAGACGGCAGATGTGTTCTACATGTAGCTGGGATTGGTATGGAATCCATTTCAACTGGGGATGCTTCTGCCAACTCCTCCCCCTCCAGGTTCATCCCCTCCTGAGCACAAGGCAGGCACGGCTCATTGAAGTGAGCTGAGTGGCTTACACAGTCTGTCGGGTGACCCCACGGAGATGGTGAGGTGGGGTCGTGGGGTGGCAGGAGCACATGCTGTGGAGTTGACAACTGTTGGGCTTGAATCCTGGCTGTGCCTTTGCTCCGCTCTGTGACCTTGGGCAAGTTACTTAACCTCTCTGAGCTTCTGTTTCTTCATCTGTACAAAGGGCTGCTGATGATATCTGTGGAGTAGGTGGGGATTAACTGAGGTGGTGTACACCCATGGCTATGTCAGGAATATAGTAAACATTTGTTATTGTTTATCACTATTTTATTATTACAGTTCACAAGCAATAAATGTCACTTATAATGATCATTATTAGAACCAATAGCCAGACATGATAATGATGATAATGAAAATGGTAAGAAATATTAAGTAATATTAAACACTTACTGTGGGCCAGGCATGCGGCAGGTGTTGGCATGAATTATAGCACTTAATTCCTGTACCTCTCCAGCGCTGGTTTTCTCTCTCCTCCCATTTGCCACATTGGGAAGCGGAGGCTCAGAGAAGCAGACTTGGCTGATGAGCACTGAGCGGCACCAGGATTCACGCTCAGGACAACGATTGCAGACCTGTGGTTTTGTGTGGAACACCTCTCTTTAAACTCCCTTGTGCAAAACTGCCTCCCTGCTCCTTCCTCTTCCTCCACACGATTCTCTTCTGGGAGCAAGCAGCCCCAAGCTGTAGGCAAATGCACACACAGACCCCCACACACTGCCCGCCTCCAGTCCCCCTGAGACGCGCTGCCTCTTCTCCACTGGCTGGACCCCTGTGCTTTGCTGCACAGGTAAATATTTCCTCCCGAGTACCGTGTATACAGGACATCTTGGACCAAAAGTTACCCCCCCACAAATAAACCCTCCCACACCCTGAGAGATATGAGTCATGTCACACACCCAGCCTCTCCCCCTCATACACAGATTCCGTTCACCGGCCCAGATCCCTCAGCCCACACAAATCACACACGCCCACAGTCAGAATTCAGATCCCCCTGCGCCTGCGCACACACGCGCACAATACACCTGTCACCCAGAGATGTTCTCCACCCCATCCCCCCAAACGCAGCCACTTGTGCCCTCCCAACTCTGCTCACCAAGTACTCCCAACCCCAACCCCTACCGATTCCTGCTCCTGAGAAGCATTACCCCGTGTGGGAGAGTGCCAGCCCTGAGGGAGGGCTCAGATCACAGATGGAGCCGGACGCTTCGTTTCCACTTTAGATACAACTTTATGCAGTGAAGTCCCCTTTTAAGGGGGAAAAACCCTCATCCAGACAAAATGAGTGACCACTGGGCATATTTTTGGTCATGAATATGTGAAAGTAAACTCTTTTTTTAAATCCAAATGCCCAGGTTAGGAGGCAGCAGGCCCATCAACTCAGATATTCTAGCTGTTACACCAATAGGAACTCATTTCAGAGACAAAAGAAGCACTCAGCTATTGGAGGCAAACGCGCATCTCCTCAGAGACTCTCTTGCAGCCACTTTGGGGAGGGAGAAGGCTCCACGAGGTGAAAGGAGAAACAAAAAGCAAATAACTAGTTCTTTGTTGCCAATACTAGCTGAGAAAGAAGTGCTATTGAAGACTCCCCTCGCCCAGCGCAGCCCTGCAGCGGTGTGACGTGCTTTGTATTAGGAAGCTGGGAAGGAGCTGAGGATCAGCGCCCTCCGAAAATAGCCATCTCCCGGCTAGTTAGTGGTAGTCCTAGCTGACGTTACCAGTGAATGCAGCGAACCTGAGGGCAGAGGGGACAGTGGGCCCATCTTTTCTGAGGACACCCAGCTAGAGAGAGGAAGACCCCGGAAAAACAAAGGCTAGTGGTGGCTATAGGGGAAGGGCCAGGAGCTGCTGCTATTTTTCTTCAAGGCTCTTTTTCTTCCTCAATTTCCCCTAGGCCTCCACCACTCTAAAGATAACTAGCTGTCAACTATGAGCTGACAATTCTGTATGTAACACTCATTGTGTCATTAGATGATGACAAGATATTTAGATTTATGAGTAGAAAAAAGGGTGATGTTTGTTTGAATTTTCCACAATGGTCCGGCCAGTCTTGGATCAGCTGCTCCCCCAGTTTGTAGTTTCCTGGC